TCTATTGTATTTCTCTCACTCAGCTAAGTAGAACATTCACTTGCATCATTCCAATAAATAACATATACCTATACAGAAATACACATTTCTAAATTGTTTTTAAATCTGTTTATCCCTATTGTGCCTTTCATGATTACATCTATTTTTAAAACTTACATGAACTCAGGCACCACTGGTTGCCTTTCCACATCATTTGATTACAAATTACCTTTATCATCATGAAGATATTTTAATCTTTATAAATTTACATAAGGTAAAATTATACTTTTAGATACTACTACTGGGATTTCAAATGATATTTTGGGTTTTTTCTAAGATTTTTGCAATTTAGTCTGGAGTTAGTGTCTGATGTTAATGCTGTTAAATAATTACTATTTTTTTAATTATGTAATGTGCTTGTAGTTTTTATTCCATTTTTTCATATAGTTGTTTGGAAAGCATGAATTTAATTACATTTTCACTGCCATTCATCATCCCTTAAGTTCTTAGATTCTCTCAAAATTTCTTTTTCTGTATGACACACGCATTCACACTCATGCTGTTTTCATTAGGATGCCTGGCTAAGCTCTCAGATAAACTGTAAATACTTTTTACTCTCAGTGCAGGCTTCTTTCCAGTTTGGGCTCTCCTGAGCCTCCTGCTCAATAGTACCCCTAAGAATTTTCTCCCATACGTGATGGTTATGCTTAATAGTTTTGCTGACTGCATTATACTTAATATGTACATTTTAATGGTATTTTGTATCTAACACTAATTTTAAACCTATATGAATTTCAAGTAATTTTTAATATATTATTCTGTGTCAATTTTTCAGAGAGAATTTTTGCCCAGAAAATGTTTTGGTTTTATTTAGTTAATTGTCTATCTTCTTGTATATTTGTTCCTTATCTAAAAATATTTTATTCACCTGAATTTTTAAGCTTAGTTTTCTTGATGTATATCCAAATCATAGCGTTTACTTTCATATTGAGCTGCTTAAAACCTCTGACTTTTCATAAAGTATCTAAGCTGAAGTACCAAATTTATTTTCTTTCAGAAAATAGCTATGAATCCCATCTTGTTATCATGCAGGATTTTCCAAGCAATTGAAGAATAATATCACTTAGGATAAACATCTATATGTATGGAACAAAATTCTTAACTAATTCAACACTTAATAACTGAGTATCTTTGTGTGCCAGAATCTTCTACAAGCAATGCATAATATAAACTTTATGCCTAGGTATTTATCAATGTAATTATAACTCTATATTGATATCATTCTATTATTGCTACTTTATATCTAATTATAGTATATGTTCAATGCTTCATTCAAATTTGTTTAATGCAACTGCTTTATAACCACCATATTTTATGTGGTACTCTTCCCCCACAATTGCTTTTATTTCAAAACATCTCATTTTCTTTATTTTTTTCTAAATAATTCATAGTTAATCACACACCATTGTGAAAAGGAATATGAGCAATGCAAGTAAAGTCCCTGCTCAATTGTTCTTCATATTATATTAGCTAGGAAAGAGTACAATAAAATAAACATGTGTTTGATGTTATGTTCTAGGGACCTATCACAGGGAGATGTTTATTTAATGTAAATCTTTATGAACTTCCTGCACAGTTTTATAAATATGATGCTGGGAAACCACCACTTGTTTTCTGAATACCAGAACTAGTTCTAGAGTGTGCAAATGGAGTTTCCCAATATAATATATATATCCCACTTCGAAGAATTATATATTATATATATATAATATATATATATCCCACTATATATAACATATCTCACTTAGAAGTAGAAGCTAGAAAGAGTGGGAGGGGAGAGGGAATGTAGAGAAGATGAGTAATGGGTAAAGGAAACAGCCTGATAGGAGGAATTATTTCTATGCTCTGTAGAAAGTAGGGTAATGATGGTTGACAGCTACTAATTGTGTCAGTATTTCAAAATATCTGGTAGAGAAGATTTTGAATGTTCCCACATGAAGAAGTAGTAAATGTTTAAGGTGATTGAAATGTCAGTTATCCCGATCTGGTCATCACACAATGTTTAAAAGAATTGAAATATATTACAGTACTCCAAAAATATGCAGTTACTGTGTCAGTTAAAAATTGAGGCAATAGTTTTAAAGAGATTTAAATGTTAAACTTAAGAATACAAAAGGAAAGAACCTCACAGGAACAATGAGAAAGCAGACTTTCTCATCTAATATTAAATTATACAAAGACCAGTTGGTCAAATGAATGTACCCCAGCCACAGGGAAGGTAATTTTTCTGGTGTCTCATGAAAAAAATGACAAAAAATATTTTGTTCTTCATTCTACATTTTTATTTCTGAATTGTTGAATTCTTTTCTAAGCTTGCTCTTTATTTTCTCTTGTAGTTTTCAGACTGTGTGTTTCTTCATAAAAAAATGTCTTTTGGACAAATATATTTTTGTCCTTTATTATTTTGCTGGACATCATGAACATATACCTGGAATTGGAATTCCACCAGAAAGATGGAAGCCTGCTCTTCCTTATCATCTCTCAGGGACCACCTGTGCTTATTAAGACTTTTCCTCACTCAGATCCATATAATCCCCCTCCTCTATTTTCTGAGCATATATTTGCTTCTGTAAAAACAGGACAGATACTTCCCATAACAATATAGGGTCTCATAGTTACACAGGATGAGATATTGATGAACTGGAATTTCTAGATTCCATTTCTATATTCTTAGGAAAAAGTTAATTTGATGATAACTTGTCTCATATCAATTTATTTCTAATAATGTGGTTGGGGCTAAGATGAACATAATATAACTACAGTGTGCTCTCTGTCTGTGCATAAGTGTGTATGGTTTGTGTGCTTTTAGTGATGAAGGTAATTTCAGAGAAGGGCTTTCTTGACACAATATTCACATAGATCTCAACATATGATGATTTGACATATGGTTTCTTGCTTTTATGATGGAACAATACTCATATGAAGGAAATTGCACTCTACAGTTTTTCCTTTACTCATATTAGTAACATATGTTATCATACTCTTCCCCAAGGCTGCATACATGCAGCAATCAGTCATCCACAATATCACAAGAGAAAACAACCTGAGACTATGGTGTACTCTGTTACTAAGCAGGATTTTTGTAGGTAATATGAATTAAATGCTTTTTGACTTATGTAACCTCAACCTGTAAAGTTTAAATCAAGATATAATCCTGTCATAAGTCAAAAGGCTCTAAATGGTAATTCATAGTACAGAGGCCAGCACTCAAAACAACAAATGTAGAGAAAAAAATCTTCATTTTAAATTGGAGATAAAACTTTGCAACCAACTTATTAAAGACCAAATGAAAAACCTTTAGACACAGGGAAATCTTTTCTTGTGATATTTCAGTGACAACAAACTCTTCACTCTTCAGTGTTTTATGTACTTCATTATATTATTAATTTACACAATATTGGAGCCTAACCATGCGGTGCAGTATGATAATCTGATACATGCATACAAAGTGTACTGACCAATATTTTATTGTACACATATGCTACATTTTAATTATTTATTAATCGATTGGTGGGAGCCTAGGTTAATTTCATATCTTGCTTAATGTGAATGATGCCACTATACACGTAGGTGCTATCCCTTTAAAGTATGTTTCATATCCTTTGGATATACACATGGAATTCTTCAGTATTTTCTAACACCTCTCCTTACTCTCCTCTTTTAGAATCATATTAAATTATTCTTATATCTTACCTGATTTAATTTCTACAAAATCCTAATGAGCCAAGCATGGTTATTGTCACATTTTACAGCACAAGGATATGGAGAATCTGTGTGTTTAACTATAATCACATAAAAGAACAACGAATGTAATTGACACCACTGAGATTTTTGAACTTGGTAGGTTCCTCTAAGCTCTGTGATCTTATGATCTACACAAAATGTTTCTCTTTTAAATACATGTTTATATCTAATTATATACACTACAAGAGAAATTTATGGTGTAGATGTGGTTGCAGTGGGAAATTTTTTGGAACTCTTTAATTTGAATAGGTATACTAACTGCACATGTTTTGTGGTAAAATGTAATATTACAGTAATTATGGCCATCTCTTTAAACATTTACTACTTTCTGTGTTGGAAACATTCAATATCCTCTCTACGTATTTCAAAATATACAAAAATGTATTTTTAATTATAATTTTTAAGAACTGTGCTATAGAGGACTAGATCTTGATTCTTTTCCATGTATTTCTGTACTCACTATTTGATCTCATTTATCCTCCCTTCCTCTCTGTGCTGCACAGCCTCTATGACTATTGTACTCTTAGCTTCTAGGAAACCAACATGTTCAGCCTCCACACCCGAGTCACACACCGTGCTCTTACTCTTTTTACAGAAACACTCCTCTTTCTTGGCTTGAACAACTGAATGCCACATGTTTTTCTGGGTCTAGTACTGTCTGTTCCTCCTGCAGACACAGCTTCCCTAGAGAATCTTGTGGCACTCACTCCATCTTCCTTGAGATCTTTGTTCAACTGTCATCCTATGTACTGGTTTTGCCTGAAAGATAATTTAAAGAAAATAAAAAACAATAAACATCCATATGGGGTCTATTTTTATTTTCTTTCCTTTTCTTCCAGGCATTTGCCATGATCTCACATCTTATAAAATGTTTAAAGTTTGCTTGTATAACTTCTCCATCATTAAATTATATGTACAATGGAAATAAGTATTTTGCACTCTTCACGTATCATCTAGGCAGTTCTTTTAACAAGGTTTATATTCAATTTTAAATTTTGTAACGTATACAAATTTTTTTCATTTCAATAAGAGAACACATGATCTCTTAACACCAAGGTGAACATTGGATAGAAATTTCCTATTACAGATGCCAAAATGGTCCAATAATGGGAACCAATAAATACATGAAACATAAAAATGATGTGTTGACTATAGAAAATATATGATATAATTTGGGAAAAATTACTAATGCAAGTCTATTCCTCTTTCATCCCCATACCTCTCTCTGTCTCTTTTCTTTCTCTCCCTCTCTCTCTCCCTCTGTGCAGTTGATATCAACAATATGGAATCCAAGAATTACACACAAAGTGCACAATTTCTTCTTTTGAGATTTTCAGAAGATCCAGCACTGCAGCCTTTACTGTTTGGAATTTTCCTATCCATGTACCTGGCCACTGTGTTAGAGAACCTGCTCATCATACTGGCCACAGTGTCAGACTACCAACTGCACACATCCATGTACTTCTTGCTCTCCAACCTTTCTTTTGTGGACATTGGTTTCACCTCCACCACAGTACCAAATATGCTGGTGAACATCCACACACAGAGCAAGGTCATAAGATATAAAGGCTGTATCGCTCAAGTGTATTTTTTCATACAGTGTCTAATGTTGGACAATATTCTGTTGACTGTGATGTCCTATGACCATTACATGGCCATTTTCCGCCCTCTGCATTACACGGTCATCATGGACCCCAAGCTCTGTGTGTTGCTGGTTCTAGCATGTTGGATGCTGAGTGTCCTAAATGCCCTGCTACAAAGCTTAATGGTGTTATGGCCGTCCTTCTGTACTGACTTGGAAATCCCACATTTTTTCTGTGACCTAAATCAAATAGTGCACTCTGCCTGTTCTGACACCTTTCCTAATGATGTGGTGATATATGTTACCACTGTGCTACTGGGTGGTGGTCCCCTTGTTGGCATTCTTCACTCTTATTTTAAGATAGCTTCCTCCATACATGCAATCTCATCAGCTCAGGGGAGATATAAAGCATTTTCCACCTGTATGTCTCATCTGTCAGTTGTCTCCTTATTCTATGGCACAAGCCTAGGTGAGTAACTTAGTTCTGCTGTTGCCCAAAACTCATACTCAACATCAACAGCCTCAGTAATGTACAGTGTGGTCACACCCATGCTAAACCCCTTCATCTACAGTCTAAGGAATAAAGATATCAAGAGTGCTCTGAAAATATTATTTATGAGGGCAACTAGGAGCTGGATAATGTGCTCATGATTACCATTTAAACTTTTCTACATTACTTATTTTTATATTATTTTCCTAATGCTCTAAAGTTTCAAAAATAGTATTGCACATATTTTACCTTTCCCCCTTATGTTATGGATCACCTCCTAGTTATCAAGAATAATTTCTTCTTAAAAGGTAAATATCAAACCAAGTAATGTTTTCATTGCTGTTTTATTTTAAATAATATTAATTTTTTCGACTCTCATAGATAAAACTAAACTTGGCACTTAGACATATTTTTATAATTTTCTATTGAAAGTTGTGATCTATATTAGTTCTTTAATATAATGTAAATTTTAACATCACTGAATCTTATAAATGTCCTTCGTTCATTATAAATTAAGCTTCATTCTCCTTAGGATTATATTTTTTTCTCAGCTCATTGTCACAGCTTCTGCCATTCAGCAGCAACTGGCATGGTGGTGGGGACTCCCACTTGTGCACTGACAGTGGGCCATGAGGGGTGAGCAGGATGTCCTGTAAACACAAGCACTTCCAATGTTTGGGGGAGGAATTAGTTAGCGCCAGTTCCAGAACTTGTCTCTTCTCTTGGCAAGGTTTCACCATTTGGAGTCACTTTCAGCTCATGTAGCAGAATAGAAGAAGACACAGCAGGAACAAGTCCACCATTGATCTCTGAGCCAGACTTAGGGTTCTGAAGGAAAACAAAAACATGTCCTCTTCAGCTCAAGGCTGCTCATTCTGGGCATATCATTCCCCCATGGGATGTTGTTCTGCTCCAGAAAGATAGTTCTCCCCTGCATATTCTCTGTTCTTGGGAGACAAGATTGAAAGTCAGGGGGATCCAATGTTCATTACTCCTGCATCAACTGTTTGTCTTCTGGTGCTCTAACCCCCTAACACTTATTGGATCCCTACATTAAAGATGGCTCCCTAGTGTAACATCAAGGGAAGTATTTTGATTAGGTCACTTGGTCTATAAACCTTTGACCTGTGTTGGCACCTTCACCTCTCCCCTCCCCAGGATCCTGCCATTCTCTTCAAAAATGAGAACTGTGGTTCTTTAATGATAAAACAATGAATACTGCACACTTAGCTGCATGCCTTTTCCCCCCAGTACAATTAAAGAAATCACATTGATAGCAAAGGTTCAGAGCTGTCATTTAGTCCATCATTTACAAAACATTTGGTAGTTACAAGTGATATGTTTGGATCTTTTATACATGTTTCCTTGAGGCTAGAATATTATAGATATTCTCCTATTTTTTCTAATAAAAGTCCATTCAGTTCAGTACAGTGTTGCATATGTGTAGTCCAAACTACACAGGATACTGAGGCAAGAATTACTAAAGCACAGTATTTTGTCAGCTTGAGTAGCATAGAGAGACCCTGTCCTTTAAAACAAACAAGAAAATATACGTCTATTCTATATGGTCAATGCTTTATAGCCTCATTTTGTATGTGCAGAAATGAGTCGCCACATGGTAAGTGATCAACCCAAAGTTACAAATCAGGTACATATGTGTGATTTTAATTTGAGCTGTTTTTAAATGTTTCTACACCTGTGCTGTATGCATGTGTTTTCATCCACAGACAAATTATGTCTAATGGACACTTGGAAATATCTGCAGTGTTGGTAATCACAACTGGGCCTGTGCTACTGCCACCTAATGGGTCAAAGCCGCCACATATTTTGAGGCCTCATTGCTGATTCCTCTAACAATCCCCACAGCAAAAAGTCCTGCAAACACAAGACCAGTGTGCCTTCCTTGTTGCCATTTAATTATTAATCTTTGTTATACAGTTACATGGTTGCCATTTCATAACTTGGTTTTGGTTTTCTTTCTTTTTGTTTTGTTTTGGTTTGCTGCTTTCTTAATTTTTGTGTGGTATAATTATTGTGAGATGGGTTTTATTTCTCCACTCTTTAAATACTCTTTTTTCTTATAATTTCATTCTATGTAAAAGTAAAGATATTGCCATATCACAGTGAAAATACAAATGTGAAAAAATTAGATAAAGTATTTGCTCATTTGTGGTTGGTAATTTAGAGGTAAATGTCGAATATAGTCATGTAAGTATTTTCACGTCTTTTTCTCCTCTGGGAAAATGAAATGAATAAAGTTATTGAGTCTAAAAGAGTACAATTTGTATGCTATGTGCAATACTTCATACAATATTGTCTTGAGAGTTTTTCACATGTTTGATAAAGACCAGAACTAGGAAGAGAGTGTTTCCCTTGGATTTTTGTAAAAAGAATTCAAAGCCAAAACCCAACAATAACAAAGATATATAAAATGTAAGAAAGGTTCTTGCCTTTTTTTTCACACTATATGAAAAACAAGGTGAATAAATATTAAATAATAAACACACATGTATCTTTTCTTTATTTTTATTTTTAATTGACACATAATTGATTCACATATTTGTAGGGTACAGGGCTTATTCATGTGTATATTGTTCAATGATGAAATCAATCTAATTAGCATGTCCATTATATCAATCATTTATCAGTTTTAGGATTGGGCATATTCCAAATCATCTCTTGTAGCTATTTTGAAACATACTGTAAATTGTTGGTAAGTATTAAATTGTTGCTGTGGAACACTAGAAATTTTTTCTCCCATTGTTCTCTTTTTTCATACTATTTTCCATCCTCTCTAACTCCCATTCCTACCATCCTTCTTCCACCATAGTGGCCTCTGTTGTACTCCCTACTTCTATGGGATAAACATTTTCAGTTTGCACATATGAGTGAGGACATTGTTATCTGTCTGTATGGACATGGCTTACTTCACTTAATATAATGTCCCTCAGGGTCAATAATGTGGTCACGAATGACAAAATTTCATCTTTTATAGCTGAATACTATTTTATTTTGTCTATGCATCACATTTTCTTTATCTGTTCATCTATCATTGGCTATTTAGGTTGACTCCCTTTCTTACTACTGTTACTAATGCTGCAATGGATTGGAGGGGGTGAAGGGAGGGCAGGGGATTGTGGAGAAAATAAGAAACAAGATACATCATGTAAGGGTACAAGATCCCAATGATAAAAGTAACTGTATTGTATACCTAAAATGTACCAATAAAATTAATTGGAAAAATAATGCTGCAATAAATCCAAGAGTATAGATGTTTCTTCAATGCAATGATTCCTTTCCTTTGGATATATTCTCAGCAGTGAGTGGTACAAGTTGCCTGAAGTGGTGGTTCTTTTTGCTTGTTTGTCTGACTCTTTTTCCCCCTGAGGGACCTCTAAACAGTTCCATAGAACTGTTTTAATGGACATTCTTATTAAGGGAAATGATCTTTCCTTTTTCTCCATGTTTTCAACAGGGGATTTTTTTAAATCTTTTTGATAGTGGCCCTTCTATGTGGGATGATATGGCATGTCTCAATGTGATTCTGATTGTGATTTTTTTACATTTACATTTATATAACTTCTTTTCAGAAGTATCTACTGAGATAATTGGTCAATTTTTAAAGAAGACTACTTATTTATTATTGACTTATTTGGCTTCCTTTTATAGTCTGTGTACTGACCATTTTCAGATTAATAGTTTGCAAATATTTTCTCCCACTATGTAGGTGGTATCTTCACTCTTGATCATTTTACTTGCTGTTTAGTTCTCTCTTTTTTATATACAATCCCATCTGACTATTATCCTTACTGTGGTCTGTTTTCATTATCCTACCCAAAATACTTTTGCCTTTACCTATTTTCTAGAATGTTTGTCCTGTCATTTCTTTCAGTGATTTCAGATTTTCAGGGGTAACATTTAGTATTTATAGCTTTTATGCAATTTTAGTTGATTTTTGCATATAGAATGAATTAAATGTATAGTGTCATTCTTTGTTAATTAATACAATGTTCTCACCAACATTCATTGAAGAAAATATTCTATCTCCAATATATATTCCAGGCACAATTGTTGAATCGGACAGAAATCCCAACATTCATATTTTAGAGAACATACCAGTTCTTCAGTTTTGTTAATTTTTCCCCTTTAGAGGATCCCCTTGATATTTCTGAAGTGCAATCCTTGTCTCAATCTCTCCCAAGGGGGTATGTATTAAAATATTTTAATTTCTTTATATCTCTGAGAAATATAACTGCATGATGGTCAGTTCAAATCATTGTCTAGGCAATTACTTATCAGTACTAAAATACTTGATTGTCCATATAATTAAATGAGAAAGAAATAACACAGTCTAATTCAAATCAAGTAAAAGTTAGGAAAGAATTTTCATGCACCATGGAAAATGGCACCCTGTACTCTGATGAAAAAAAAATCAGTTTTAATAGGAAGATTCCACATGATCTACATTTATGTGCTAGATATTCAGATAAGACAAGCAAGTACATGACATTTTAAAAGAGACTTTGAGGAAAAACAAGGAGAAATCCACAAATCCTTTTCAGAAGGTTGTCTGGGAAGAGGGAAGAACCAGTGCAAAAGTCCTTAAGAAAGTAGTTGTTTCAAGGTTTCAAAATCAACAAGGTGACAGTCTGGTAGGAAGCATAAGGAAGAGAGGCCAATGAAAGAAATGAAGAACAAAGTGCCCTCATAGCTGCAGAAGATTCAAGACACAAGAAATCTGTCTGTATAGACCTTATTGGGTTTATGTTTACAAGTTGGCCCCAATGGCTGGGTGAATTAATTGAAATGCATTCCCTCTTTATTTTTTTTTTTTGTTATTGTTGTTATTTTATGTTCTAGCCTCTCCATTATGACTTACATTTTGAAACATATTGAAACATGGTTCTTTTCTCTGAAGTCTGATTTCACCTCCAAAGGCAAAGCCATGCATGCATGCACACATACAAACACACATGCGCGTACACAC